TTTATTACCTAATGTTTTTTATTAGTATTTTCTCTGTAAGATACAACATATCCAGATTAGGGCTTTTGGAAACCGGACGGGGTGCAGCAAATCATTCTGACAGGCTTAAGTTGCAGGGGTTTTCTGGTCACATACATTAATTACCATCATTATAAGATAAGACACATGGGTGATATTAATTTGTCTGCCTTACAGAGAGACGTTCCCAAGAGAGCCAAACATCATCTGAATCCTTTAAATAGTCATTATGAGTATTTATATCTATAATTTATGGATTGATAAAGAAGAATGCGTTTTGAGGGCTTTTTAAATGATGAAATGCAGTTAAAGTATCCAGTTTAGATATAAATAGAATATTTTACATGCATTTGTATAGTACATAAATAAATAAATATGGCAAAAATGACATTGCAAAAATGCAATTGTTGTATTTATAAATAAAATAATAAAATAGTTTGCATTCATTTATATTTATAGTAAATAAATAAATAAATATTGCAAAAATTACATTGCAAAAATTTAATTGTATTTATAAATAAAATAATAAAATATTTTACATGTATTTATATTTACAGTAAGTAAATAAATATTGCAAAATTGCATTGCAAACACTGAAATATACAGTAACTAAAATGTTTTACATGCATTTATGTAGCAAATAAATAAATAAATGAACATTGCAAAAATGCAACTGTTGTATTTATAAATAAAATATTTTACATTCATGTATATTTATAGTAAATAAATAAATTATAAATAAATAAGTATGCCAAAAAAATGCTCATTGTATTTATACAAATATTATAGAGTTATGTTTGTATATTTTTCATGTAAATCTCAATACACATTTGTCTCCTGTGGAATCACTCTATTATAAAATGTGAGCAGGAAATTCACCTATTCATATTTTGTTCAGTGTTTTTACAGAACATGTGAAAAATTCACCCAGCAAACAAAGTCCAGCTAAATGAAGACTGATGATTCCACTGCTGATGATTTCATGAACGGTGTAATTAGATTAAATGGACTGTGACACCTTGTGAAATGGTCTGTGACATTTTCTTTCTCGTCGCTTTTTTCCCTAATATGTTTTGTCCTTAAACTCTTCTAGTCTTGAACTCTTTTTGTTAGAATTATTTGTGTTAAAAGTTTATTAGACGTTATCATACCAAGTTATCGTGAATCTCACTAGAGGGCAGCAGGGTGCTTTGCACAATAATTGGATATTAAAGGGGTCATATGATGCGATTTCAAGTTTTCCTTTCTCTTTGGAGTGTTACAAGCTGATTGTGCATAGATAAGATCCCTGAAGTTGCAAAGACTAAAGTATCAAAACCAAAGAGATATTCTTTATCAAAGTTAAGACTCTGTCACGCCCCCCTAAAACGGCTCGTTCTAACACGCCCCCACATATCTACCTCACTATGTGGAAATATTAGCATAATGCGGCCCAAATGTTCACGCAAAGAAAGAAGGCGTGGTTTCAGTAACCGCAGTTAGTGTTGAAGCAGCATGTCAGGGAGACGCTGTGTGTTTCTAGGCGAAAGCAAAAGCACTTTATTTGGCCTTCCGGAAGTAGATGCATTTAGGAATCTTTAAGATTGCTTACAACAGAACAGCAATGCATTTTATGGACGACCGTTTCGTGAACCTAGGAGAGGAGGTCATTCTGACTTTGCTATGACAATCTGGCGCTTCTGAATCAGCTACTGTTTTGTTATTAGTTTAAATATTAGCTATTGACTGTTCAAATGCGTTTTGCGCATCGTGTGTGTGTGTGTGTGTGTGTGTGTGTGTGAGAGAGAGAGAGAGACAGGGTCACATCACAGTGGAGTCAGCTGTCTTAACCGTGGCTTGTGTACTGCAAACACATACCGCTTCATCCCTGTGTCTTGTCACGCAACTCTGTTCCCCTTTCGGGCTCTGTCTTTACATTTACTTTGAAAGACGAAGCTCGCGATTATGGTAAGGGGCGTTACATTTCACAATGCACTGGGTCAGCTGGCCAATCAGAGCAGACTGCGCTTGTCGGAAGGAGGGACTTTGTAGAAAACGAAGCGTTTGAGAGAGGCGGGGCATAGAGGACCTACAATAATGTATAGTATTTGAAAAATAATGTGTTTTTTAACATTAAAACATGTCAACATATTCTGTTACACCAAATACGCAAAATAATGATCTTTAAAAAAGCATCATATGACCCCTTTAAGAATTTTGGGGGAAATACCATGAGTCTTTTTTTGCAACAGTTATCTAACATTTGACATATTTAATATTTAATAACTTGATATTAAATGATGATAAGGTGATAAGTTTAGTGTCTTTGTACACTTTAGTGACCTGTAGCTGTCAGATAACTATTCTGTATTCAATGTCTCAGAGTCCCAGTTAACAAAAATATGTTCTAAGAATGCTTTGCCTACTTTTTAATAACGCTTTTTCTTGGTAGGAAGTAGCAACTTTTAAAAACATTACACTAACATTCTGAAATTAAAATGTTTCAGAAAAATGATGTATAAATCATGATTTTGTGCTAACATTTTAATAACATTAAACAGGGCCTACCATATAACTTTAAACGAGCATTTTATTAACGTTACTGAAAATAGGCCTGCATTTGTTCATAACTTTGAGAGAATCTTTCCCGAAGGTGCAAAGTTTCTTGTTAGCTGTGGTGTTGTTGAATGTGACGCTAATAGGATGTGGATTTATAAATGAATGAATGAATAGCTAATGCTAAAAATGCATTTAGAAATCAATATCAAACATGGCATCTATTAAAATGGTAATTTCTAACGCTGGATGGCAGTCTTTCTCATATTTTCACATATCAAGTTGCACTATTTAAATTACACCACTAAGTGGCACTATTTTCTGACAATCTTTTTTAGATCAGTGGTCTTCTGCTGGTGCTGAAGAAGAATTTACAATGTTAAATTAGCATGTAATGTGCAGAATTATTAATTAAATATTCATAGGCTGATTTTGTAAACAAAAGCTGATTCTGATATCTATACCTGTGCAAACCTGGCACACCTGTGGATGTGATTGATTTTTCTCTTTAGAAGTTATTTTATTAGGCTATTTGAATTGTATTTTATGAATTGCTGTCGAAACCATTGACATTTTTGGATCACAATCCAGCAGATGAAACCACCGGTTCATTTTAATTCATATGCATTTTTTTTTCCAGAAAGTAAAAAGAGAGACAATTTTCTGGCAAGCAGTATTTCTTTTTAATAGCTTTTAATAAACACACAAACACAAGCTTTCATAAAAGAGGCGAGTCAGAGGCACAGAGTTGGGTTCTCGTGAATGAACAGTCTTCATCAGAGCTCACACTCCTTCAGACACGACTTACAGTACAGCTGCTTCAGAAGGAGCACCACCACATTCAATTAAATTCAAATATTACACTGTCTACAACTGTTTAGCCTGATCAAATGAATACAACACGATTCGGTTGTTATTTCAGGTTTTAGCCTTACGTTGTCAAGTAACGACTGCAGTCAAAAGTATTATTTATAATGTAGGGAAATGAGCACATGCAACATTTTCTAGTGCTGGTCCCATGTCAGAACAGACCACATATTGATTATATATATATATATATATA